ACATGATAGTTAAAAATATATTGTTGATGGTTCTTACCCGTGACGGCAGCTTAGCTCTGAGCTCTGTGTGTTACACCTCTTGTTTTCAAGCGTGCTCGCTCCCGACTGTGCCGTGCTGTGGGGGAGGAGCCTAGGAAGGGGAGCTGAGAGCAGGGGGGAGGGACTACAAGGTTGTTTCTGTTCAAAATTTTTCTAAGTTTTTGGGTTCCCAAGAAACTACATACAGCAGCTTTAATAAAAAGAAAGGAGAAAAATGTAAGAACAGTGAGTTAAATAATAAAATAAATTCTAAAAAGTGACCTAAAAAATGAAAAGGTGCTGGTGACATTTTTTTACAATTTATTTTAAACTTGGCACCTCATACATTTATTCATTAAATATTTTGCTAACAGATGAACAAAAAAAAACAGACAGACATTATCATCTCTTTACCTTTCAGCAGCAGGTGTTAATAAAAGGTTTTGTAAAACACCTGACTGTAACTGTCCTTGATATAGAAACTCAATATTTATGCCTCATTAATTTAAATGTGCTTTTTAGAATCTATTTTTATCTTACAGGGAAATGCAAAATTATGGCTATATGGTGAAAGCACTGGTGGTGCAAAACAGCTATGAAATGATATCTTCTGCCTTAAAGCACCACATGTTTTATTGCCTGTTTTATGTTTGCTGGGCTCATAATTTACTAAATAGACATCATATTGTAAGATGTAAAACTCAACATTAAGATGGTATATTATTAGTTGGAAGATGAAATATAGGTTAACAATAAGTAAAATAAATAAATATTCATTTAAGTTTTTATTTTTAGTTTGTTCAAGTTTATATCAAACATGTACAAAATAAGTTTATTTATTTATTATTTAAGATATATTACTGTTATTAAAATCAAAATTAGTTTTTTATTGGAACAATTTCTTAGTTTAAACATCTAATTTATTGTAGTCAATGCTGAGGTTGTCAGTTCAAGCAAGAAGGGGTTCTATGCAGACACAAAGTAGGCGTTTCTCAAGCATAAACACTGATTGGCTAGTTGTATTTGCTCTGGTTTTAGAAAAGGTTGGCTCTATTCTTTCGTTTTTCTTTCACTTTTGACTTCAAGTACTTTTTTATTTTAGAAACCAAAACTGCTTTTGTTTTTTAATTAAATCGCAATGTATCATTAAAAACAAACATTTAGTTCTCCATCTCTAAATGCCTCAAAAAAAATTTTAACTACACACTCTTATTTTGAAATGCAACCTGGAGCATAAGAAGCAGAAATAATGAATGAAGACATCGGGTCCGACATTAGTGGAGTCTTCATATAAACATATAAATAGCCGTTTAACATAATCTTCTGGCTGTTATTATTCCAAAGTCTTCTGATTACTTTGGTTACAATGGCAAGTTCGTAAAACTAAATAAATAAATCTGAAAGTCCGAAGCTAGAAAAGTAAGCTAATGTTATGAAGAAAAGCCTAAGCAACGATCATCCAATCAGGTGTGTCTCTTAAGTAACACCCCTTTTTGCTCGTCCAATCAGGTGTGTCCCTTGAAAAATGCCTTCCTTTGGAAACACCTACTTTGTCTGCAGAGATACCTACTTGGTTCAAGCCCATGTTAGATCAGGAAGGGCATTCAGCATAAAACACGCTGTAGAACAGAGCAGCTGAAAGAAAAACAATTCGATTCTACTGTTAATAAAATATAGGTTTATAAGATTTCCAAATCACTGAATCCACCTATTTACAAAACATCAACATTTTCAAGTCGAGGTTGTAAACATTCCTGCTGTTTACTTGGTGATTCAGCAAAACTTTTAACAGATAGAAAAAATATTGACAGAAAATCCTCATGCTGCAAAGCATACCAAAAGTGCAAAAATACTTTTCAAAATAAAATCTCAGTTTAAAAAGAATCCTGTAAATAAATAAAAAAAATTCAGAGCTGCATCATTCTGCCAAAAACAAGGTATTGTTCACTCAGATAACTTTTAGATCTTTTTCTTTATAATTGACCTGAAAACAAACTTCAAAAACAGCCTATTTTTTTTTTATAACTGAAGGCTAAATCCATCTTTAGGCTACATGAAAGTCTAATGATGCGATTCTAAAAAATAAAATAAAAAAATCACTATAAATGATTCACAGACCCGGCTGACTGAGTGAAGATGGAATAAAGTGAGCTGGGTGTGATGGAAGCAGGGACCGGTCCACTCACTGCGTGACAGGCTCTCCAGGGCTTTGCCCAGCTTCTTGCTCTCCTGCAAGATGTGGCTGAGCTCATCGAAGTCGCGGCTCTCCCTCCAGTCCCAGGACGGGTACTCCACTGACCTCGGCACTGGATGGCACAAACACAACCTCTGAAGGCAGCAGCTCTGATAAACTTGGTGAACGTTCAGGGAAAAAAAAAATGCATCCAAGCTGAAGTGTGAACGCCTCGGCTTGTTTGTACACACTGTGTGAAGTGAAGTAGAGCTCTGGCACAGAAATCAGCACATTGCTTCCAGAGGTACAGAGCTCACTGGTGTGAGGCCAGGGGACAGAGGCTGTCAGCTTCTTTGATTCCCAAAACAGCTCAAAACAGGAGCAGGAAGTGACCCACATACCCTGAAACGAAGCTGCCACTGTTTTCTTGTGCCACCCACAACCCTTAAAGGGGACATAACCTGCAAAATCCACCTTTTTAGCTGTTAAATACATTTTGTTGTATGTAGGAGTGCAGAAAAGTTCAATTTAGTCTTTCCTGGTGCTGCAGAGATATCTTTATATTCTGTTTGAGTCATATTTTCTTAATCCGCTCATTTAATTTCTATTTTCTGTGACGTTTTCTGAAATATTACGTCAAATTATTTGGTGGTCTTCATTCTCCTCTGGCTCAGACATGTAAGGCTGGATGCACTAGTCTTTCCTTGTTGACATCTTTTAATTAAATTATAAATAAAACATCTAGGCACTGCTAGAAAACTACCCCCCACCCCCCCAAACCGGAGTGGACTGGTTCAGAAGCAAGAGGTGGGCGGGGCTTGGAGCGCCTTAAAGGGAACTGTATTAAAACCAGCTGCTTTGAGACACACCAGAAAATTGGTGAAATAGGGGCTGCTATAGTTAAAGTAAGGAGGAATTCAGACCAAAGCATTGTAGTTCCAGGGTCTTTATATAGACCCCTAATGAATTATTTAAATATAAAAAGGAAGGATTTAAAAGCAGGATGTGTCCTCTTTAAATGAGACATTTCATGCTTTTAAATCTTTCTCCCCTCCCAACTTCCCAAGTGATTCATTCCTGTTTGATAGATTATAGCACAGAAACTTTTTATTTACAAATTAATTACAAGATATCAACAGGGGAAGACTTGTCCATCCAACCTTACATGTTGGAGGAGAATGAAGACCATCTAATTGTAGTTGGTAAGTCCAGATCTTATTTAGAAGTTCCATCGCAAATACTGTGTCATAGAAAGAAAACTGAACATATCAAAAAATATGATCCAAACAGAATATAAAATTATATGCAGCACCGAGAGAAACTAAACTAAACTCCTAGAGACTCCAAGTACACACACACACACAAAAAAAAATACATTTAACAGCTAAAAAAAAGTGGATTTTGCATACGTCTCCTTCATTTACACACTTTTTCATTCAAACACTATTAAAAGAAGAGAGCAACAGTTTTTAAGGATTATTGTGATTCACTCGTCTCTAACGTTCTTAGTCTCCTCTGTCTAAACAAACACTGAAAACAGAACTCAACCTAAAGGAGGATTTTCCTGTGTTTGTAAGTGTAACATATACACAACATCTGCTGACAGGTACAGAAAGTAAGCATTACCTTGAACACAAATTAGTTTAACGCTTGACAGCAGTGCTGCTACAGTCTGTTTCCTTTGCCCTTGTTTACCCTGACTAACTAAGCTGCTTGGCACCAAAACAACCGTAAACACGCAGCAAATGTTTCTGCCAAATCCAGACAGAAGATAAAATATATACTTTCATTAACTCCGACTAAAAAAGAGGCCTTTCTGTTTTCTCCTCGGCAGCAGCAAAAGGTTGTGCTGCGTCTTAATCTCTTGGATTACAAAAGGTTAAGCGTTTAGTTCTGACAAGATCTGTCCGTTTAAAGCCTCGGTCAAGAGGAAATGAGGCCGAAAGCCTTCAACTCTGTGAGGTGCACTGGTTTTATTCAGGGATTCATTGTGTCAGTACATCTACGTGTTGCTTTTGAGTGGCAGTTCTTCTGATTGCAACATTTTCATGAGCTCTGCAGGTATGTATTTTTAATGTAATCTGAGTTCAAAGTTTCAAGGCTTCTTCCTCTGAAGGGACAGCAGGGACGAGGAATGGGCAATGAGTTTTGAATATTCTAAATCTAGTTGAAACAGGCAACATTAAAAGAAGAAAATAATATGACTGATGTAGCAATACTTTTCTAGTTGAGTGTTGTTGTTTAGTTTTTTCAGGGGGGACATGCAAAAAAAGAAACCTCTGATCATCTTTCTACCAGTAGTTGGAGTTTATTTTGAAGGATACTACATAGCAGTAGCATATATGACCCCCGCACATACGCAAAGTACCAACGCACCTGAACTCAGAACTCACCAGAACAGATTTATTGTTTTGGATGGGGGTTCGGGAAGGTTGGGGGTGGGGTAGAGCTCATTGGTGGGCCCGATGAATAACCCTTCATCTGAGCTACAAAAAAAATTGAAGCTCCTAAGTTGAATAGTTTTTGAGTCATAAGCATTTTTGTATATCCAGACACCCCTTTTTAGATAGAGCCCCCTCCTCAAATATGGGGTCTATCCTAAAACCGTTGGCTGGTGCAGTGTAAATCAGACCCATCTACATTCCTGTCAAAAATGTTCATGTTGATTGGTGCAGCCGTTTTCAGGAGGTCATTTGGGTTTTTTTAAATTAACTAAATTAAAAGTTTTTAGCTGCAGGACTTGGAGTAAATTTTACTTCACAAAAACTTATGGAAGCTTCTTAAATTTATATTTGTAAAAAAAAAAAGGTTACGAACTGACCTGGACCAGAAACTGAAGACGACAAAACTGTAGTTGGGAAGTCTAGACCAGTGTTTTTCAACCCTGGTCCTCAAAGCACACTGTCCTGCATGTTTTAGATGTTTCCCTACTTCAGCACAGCTGATTTCAATTGATAAGTGATTAACAGGCTTTTGTTGAATTGCAATCATCTGAATCAGGTGTGTTAACGCAGGGAAACTTCTAAAACATGCAGGGCAGTGTGCCTTGAGGACCCGAGTTGGGAAACACTGGTCTAGACCATATTTGGCAGTTCCATCACAAATAATTTAACGTAAAAGTTCAGAAATCATCACAGAAAACAGAAAAAAACTGAACTAGTTAAAATAATATGACCAAAACGGAATATAAAGATATCTATGCAGCACCAGGAGAGACTAAATTCAACTTTTCTACCTCCTAGGAGACTCCAAGTCCACAACACAATGAATTATAGAGAAAAACATGGATTTTGCATGAGTCCCCCTCGAAAAAGGTCATTCTGTAGCAGGAAAACTTATAACATTTAGAACACCTCAATGTCTTATAGGTTCACCTCCTCGATTGTTGTCTTTTTTGCTGACATCACGTGCTCCTCTCCACTCACTTCCCCACAATTGTAGCTGCAGCTGAAAATAGACTTGGTCTGGCAGTGACAGAGCACCATGTTAAATTATTGAAGCGGCCTGTGGCTCTGATTCCTCCCCATTTGACCCAAACTCACTGCCTCCGATCTCATGCTTCATTCTAGCGTCACAGTTATGGTCATTTATCTCAAAACCAAAAAAAGAAAAAAAAAGAACGTTTCTCAATCAATTCTGCATGTACGCCAGAAACTTGTGAATAATTTACTTCGGCGTGTTGCAGGAAGAAATGTATAACGTGTCATTTTCTAATGAACTCATCTGAGAGGCGCTGGGAGGCTGGAAGGAGGGTGCTGTGACTAACTTTAATTAGATATAATTACATCGAATTAAATGAAGTTTAAAGTCAATGGTGTGTGTAATTGGGAAACAAGTGATGCAACAGGTTTCAAAAGTGTGCAACTTTGTGCCACGAAGTGGATCGAGTGGGTGTCTGTGATCAAAAGAAACGAAAAACAACTGAAGGAAAACGTGTGACGGTGCTGGCGTTAAACTTACAGGATTTTGATTCTGGGGAAGGTGGGGAGATGCTGGAAACAGCCAGGTCACTCTTTGATTTCTTCGGTTTCTTTGGGGTAATTTGCCACGGCTTCTCAAAGTTGCTGTACTCCCTGCGAGGATTTTTGTTTTCTGTTGGGAGAGACGAGAAATATTCAGGATGGTGAAAAGTTTGAGGTCTGAGACAAAGCAGATTTTAGGGATTTCTTTATAAATAACTGTAATCAATGATTAAAAAGGCCGGTCTACACCCATGTTAAAGATGTTTCTCCCCCTTCAGTAGGGTTGGATCAGTAGAGAAATATTTTCTGTTCTTCCACAAATGCTTTGGCCCCAGGTCTAGGCTCTTGCCGAGTTTCTCAACAACTCTGACCGACCTCGGCTAAACCAGCTCCTGTGTTTTGTTGGCCGTGTTTGATGTTGTTGACTTGTTGAAATGCAGGCTTTAGCCCCAGAATGAGAACTTCAGCCCTCTGGAAAAGGTTTCCACTCTGGGTCGAATTATTTCCCTGCTTCCATCCCTCCTCTGTCCTCACTTAGCTCCTGGTTCCTTCAGCAGAAACACTTTAACAAACAACTTTAACAAAATAATCCCACCACCTCAGACTGTAAGGGGTGTTAATGATCTGCTCTGTGTTCCTCCACACTCACCTTCTGAGGTTCAATCTTTTACATCTATAGCAGAATTATTTTAATTAAATAATTAGTTTTTAAAGAGCCAATTTCTGAGCGTTTACCATGACTGCCTGACTGACGGTGTTTCTAATCTGATCACTGGATTACAAAAACATTTTCCATCTTACAAAGGCTGCCTTGCATTTGAGTATTTTAAACTCTGATATGCACCGATTCTGCTGTAATGGCCAATACAGATTTTCTTTCAATGGACTAACCCATACAAACGTCATACACATTCAAGATTATCTGAGTGCCTTAAAACAAACACATCCTCAAAGAAACCTTTCACTGGCGACACAAATTGTTGTTAGCACTTGTCTTATTTTAATCCTGTAGTTTTATTTAAAAACATTCTCTCAAATTCTGCTTCTGGTTTCAGTCTTCTGAAATCTGGTACACATTAAAGGTTGTCTTCTTTGTGATTACGCCCAGTATACAGATAAAATTACACCAGCAGGGGTACAAAAACATTTTAGACACCATTAATTCATTAGATGATGGAGAAAATTTCTGAAAACGTTTCCGCTGTATGTCGTGTGGTGTGTGCGCGTATGTTTTTGTTGCCTGGTGGGGACGATTTTTGACCATTTTCCTGGTTCAAACAGCCTGATGAGGACCCACTGTTATTTTCCCCATTGGGGGAAATACCATTGATGTGTCAGGGGTTCGGTTAGGACTAAGGTGTGAGTTGAGTTTAGGCTAGGTTTAGGGTCAGGTATGTATTGAGGTGGTAAGGTTCAGGGTAAAGGATCAGGGTTAGGCTATAGAAATGACCAGTAAATGAATGGAAGTCAATGCAAAGTCTCCACGAGGATTGAAGACATGTGTGTGTATACACCAACCTGGGGAACTCTGTGCCCATAGTGCTGCTGAACCAGAGAAAGCTCTGTGCAGTTTTCCATGGCTGTCTTGCTTGGTCTGCAGGTGATCAATGAGAAAAGGGATTGGATGGTCCGGAGTCTCAGTTATCAGTTTGGTCATCAACTCCTATGGGAGCAAAGAAAAGCAGAAAACTGTTTTTAAAAAAAAAGTCACCACTTTTAAAGAAGTGTGTGGAGAGAGGGGTCAGTAGAAAACATACCAAAATGAAAATTAAAAAATAATAAAAACACATCAAATTGTTCTGCACTATAGGACTTGTTCTACAGCAGACTGTAGAGGACTGTCACTGGTAAAAAAAAAGGCAGTTAATGCATTTTTTCCATTTAGTTATATTATATATATATATATATAAGGGGTGCAACAATACATGTACCCATATCAAACCGTATCGAACAGTGCTTTAGGTTCAATACACACTTGTAT